AAGTCCCTCCCCACCTTCCTGGAGCCCCTTCAGGTACTGGGAGGCTGCTAGAAGTTCTCCCTGGAGCCTTCTCTTCTCCAGGCTGAACAGCCCCAACTCTCTCAGCCTGTCCTCACAGCAGAGCTGCTCCAGCCCTCGCATCATCCTCGTGGCCTCCTCTGCACTGGCTCCAGTAGCTCCATGTCCTTGTGCTGTTGGTGGCCCCAGCACTGGAGGCAGCACTGCAGGTGGGGTCTGAGGAGAGCGGAGCAGAGGGGCAGAATCTCCTCCATTGTAAGGCAAGAGAATTTTATCAGGAATAACAGGGTAAATTGATAACCATCCTGTACCAGAAGCTGTTACTGGTGCTACAGTGGAGATGGGATGACAGAGAACTTACACTGTGTTTTTATGGCTGACTCTAGTAAAGCAGCAGAGCAGACTTAAAAAAGAACTGGGATAATAGTTTTATCTGTGCTTTGGGGAGCTTTTCATTGACTTTGTTTTTTCCCTTGGTCTTGCTCACTGTGACCTGTGCGTAAAGGTTGTGTAAACTGAGAGTGAGGTACAGTGGTTTTTGGAAGGATGGTTTTCCTGGAATGTAGCTTTGTTCATCAAAGTTTCCTCTGGTTCCCACGTGATTGTCTGATCTGGGTGCCCTTTGTTCCCCCAGGTTATAATGCTACTGTCTTAGCCTATGGACAGACAGGATCTGGAAAAACCTATTCCATGGGAGGTACCTACACTGCCAATCAAGAGCATGAACCTAGTGTGGGAGTCATCCCTCGGGTCATCAAGCTGCTGTTTAAGGAGAAGGAGCAAAGGCAGGATTGGGAATTCATCCTCAAAGTTTCTTATCTAGAGGTAAAAGTTGTTTTGATTTTCAAACTATGATAAAGTTCTGATTTGCAGATGAAGTGAGCTCTAATGAGGCCATCTCCTTCAAGTAATAGATATTTATTACATCAAAACCTGAAGCTACATAAGGTCTTGTCAGGATTCTGAGTCCTAGGTATATTTACCAGTAAAATGGATAGTGTCATGCAAAGTTAGTCCCAATTTCAGTGTAATTATATGGAGTTTTTATGTGAATTGCTCTCTTGTGAGGCTGCTGACTCTGAACTGCTGCTTTGATGCTTTCAGATCTACAATGAGGATATTCTAGACCTGCTGTGCTCATCAAGAGAGCGGTCTTCTCAAATCAGCATCCGGGAAGACCCGAAAGAAGGCATAAAGGTCTGTTGTCCTGTGTGTTGGGAGTACATAAGGGGATGACATGACTTGGGACAAATGTGTCAGTGAAGCAACTGTCTGACTGCTTGAGCACTGCTTTATATTAGTGCGTATGGAATCATTCCAGCTGCTCATTCCTCTCAAAACTGAGATGATGATGATGCTTAAGTGTACTCAGGGTAACACCAGTAGGGTTAGACATTCAGGACAAAGCCACTTGCAAGTCCTATTCTGCCTTTTTTTTTTTTTTGAAGGCTGATTTAGATGAATATCTGAGAATATTGTACTTCAGATCCCTTCACCAAATTTCAAACCCTGCTGCCGTTGTACTCTTCAGTTTGGCAGACAGAGAAGGGATCCTGAGGGGAAACAATTCCAGTGCTCGAGTTATTTTCTTAGCAGTGTTGTACAGATGTGTGTAGTGCAGAAAACTCTTGTGCTGCTGCTTGCTCTGTGGATTTCTTTTGTAATTAAACTTCTGTCCATGGGTTGTGCTTCATTCACACAGCTCTAGTTTGCAGCAGTGGGTGGGTTGTTGGTTGTCAGAGGCACAGCTTGGGTGCCTGTGACACCTGTAGCTCTGATCCATTAATGTTTTTGTTCTGTGTGGTGATGTGCTGCTCGCTGTCATCACTGCACACATCCATGTGTGATCCAGGGGGACAGGCCCTCCAGGGAAAGTGCACGTTTGCCAAGGAGCACAACAACCAGTCCTTACTACTCGGTCCCCCTCTGTCCTTTATGTCCCCAATACCTGCCTCCCTTCCACACAAATACCCCACACCCTTTAGCCAGTTTCACCTTCCTCTGCCTGTGACTGGCACAACTTTCAGCTCCTGTCTTGGCTGGGGATATATGAGGGCAGTTATTGATTTCTCCACAGGGTACTGAGGATCCCTGTCTCCATCCTGTCTCCATCCCATAGCTCAGTTGACCCATAGCTCACTCTCCATCCCATTAGCTCAAGCAGGCACAGAGGAACTTGGTGTGTACATTTAGAAATAGGATGAGGGAGAGGTGAAGCAATTTAGTTACTGACACAGAGTTCAGAATAAATTTTTGCTGGAGGAATCCATACTGAGCCTCTGGCTCAGAGTGAGACTGGTTCTTGTGAATTCATATTTACACATTGTTTGCTGCAGTCTAAGACAGGATAATTTTTCTGATGTAAGTTGGGGTGAAGAGGAAGGAGAGGATAAATAATGCTTTCTTCCTGGATACAGATTGTAGGGTTAACAGAAAGAAATGTCACCTGTGCTGAAGATACTGTATCCTGCCTAGAACAAGGGAACAATTCCAGAACAGTGGCCTCCACCGCAATGAACTCCCAGTCCTCACGGTCCCACGCCATCTTCACCATTTGTATTGATCAGAAAAAGAAAAATGACAAGTAAGTGTGATCGTGCAGCTGCTCCTGGCAGTTGTTAAGAGTCAGACTTACTCAAAATTTTATAGTCTTGCCTTTCTCCCTTGGTCTTGGCTGAACTCAGCTGAGCTACTCTTGAGGCAGTTCCTTTATTTGGATGTCTTGGGTAAGAAGTATATTTTTCAGCCCAATAGTTCAACTGTAATAACCAGTGGACTGCTCCTTTCCTAACTGCATGTTTACTTGAGAGAGTATAATAGTTTATTTCTGCCCTAGGAACAGCAGTTTTCACTCCAAGCTACACCTGGTTGATCTTGCTGGCTCTGAGAGACAAAAGAAGACCAAGGCTGAGGGAGACCGACTAAAAGAAGGTCTGTAGAAAAAGGACTGGTATACCTTGGGTTTCTTACCACTTTTGAGTTAATAAATTGAGTCCTTGTCAGGAAAAGCAAAGCAGTTCTTTAACCTTTATAATGTGCTTTTTTTAACCTTATTTTTTTAAAAAGGACAGGAAATGATCAGTTGTAGCTGCTGAGGTAGCTCTGCTCACTGTCATCTCTTTGTATGCAGGCATCAACATAAACAGAGGGCTCCTCTGCTTGGGCAATGTAATTAGTGCTCTTGGTGATGAAAATAAAAAGGGTGGTTTTGTCCCTTACAGAGACTCCAAGTTAACAAGATTGCTGCAAGGTAAGAGACAGGTGATAATAAAGCCTAAATCTACAGATGCACTTCAAATAATAAAGTAGCAAAAAAACCCCAACAGCCAAACAACTACAGTTCAAAGTGGGAGCTGCTGCTGACAAAGGGATTGCTTTAACTCGTCTTGCTGAAGCTAGGCCTTTTCTGTACTCTGTTTTTAAGTTGCAAACTTATGAAGTTGGACTCATTTATGAGTCCTGCTCTTTTGCAGTTCTTATGCAATGGGAGGAAACTAGACAAATCCAGTGCATTTTTGGGGGGAGGGAGAAGGAAGATGAGAAGTTAAGTCTGGAAGCAAAGATCTGTTATTATACCCTGATTATAGCTCCTTACTGGAGGATATCACAACCAGAATGAAGCTCAAGCTGTCTGTGCCTTTGCTGTGTGCATCACGTTTGTTTTGGTTTCTTAGTCTGAATATCTAGTCTTTATGGTACTTATTTTTCAACAGTTGTGATGCTCTTCTAATACATTCACCTAAATTAGCCTTTAATCTGGGCATAGCTATAGTAATGTAGTTTACTAGGATTTTTTTGGTAGTTAAAGAATTTAGTACAAAAAATTAGGCTCTTCAGTATTTTCCTTATCTGAAAATATCTAATAAAAAGAAACTGGATTGTGTGGAGCTGGATGTGGGGCCCCCTTTTTTTTTTTTTTCCTTTCTGATCTAAGCTTTATGAAGCCAGGATGTGTTAGTGTAAAACCAAAGGCTAAAATGCCATGTAGCTTGATCTGAACAAATATGTTCTTAACCAATAATTCTTTTAATTGGAAGACAGTGTGAATTCTGATGTCTGGATATCCATCCAGGTCTTGAATATTATTATGTGGGAGAAGGGAGGGAAGAACCTGAAAGTACTATGCTAGAAATGGCATACAGAAATTACAGTCATTACAGACATTACTCAAGAGGACAACAAGATTACTGGGCATTCAGATATGAAATCATCAGTGCTTAGAGCTGAGACATAATTTGGGGACTTTGGCTTTCAGAAAAAGCTCTTTAGTGTAGTATTGACTGGGGCAGAGGAGAAAGTAGATGACAATGGCACACAACTACAGCTGGATGCTTTCTGTATCTATGGGTAGATATTTTCTAGCTGTAGTATGGAGATGCACTCCTGTGGTCTTAGTGATGATATCTTACTAGTCCTTGCTCTATCTAAAAGCACCGATTATGCCTTCTTTTCCTTCTCAGATTCTCTGGGTGGTAACAGCCACACTCTCATGATTGCCTGCGTAAGCCCAGCGGATTCCAATCTGGAAGAAACTCTAAATACTTTGCGTTATGCTGACAGAGCAAGGAAAATAAAAAATAAACCAATTGTCAACCTTGATCCCCAGGCAGCTGAGCTGCATCATCTCAAGCAGCAGGTACTGGGTGCTCTGCTTGTCTGAGAGGAGCAGTTCTATCCTTTTGGTACTCGGTTCAGGAAACAGCAAGCAAAGACACAGGATGCCTAGCTACACAAAATATGCAAAAAATATTTACTCTGTGTTTCTCTGTCTCTTGAGATGGCTGAGTAAGTGTTGTAAAGGGAATACATTAATATTTTTTTATAACTCTCTAGCAACTCTTCAATACCATGTTCAAATGGTAGTGTTGGTGTGATTTACATTTCCCTTCCACTGAACAAATCATTGCCAGCCCATTAGGCTACAGGCAAAAATAGAAATACAGTGATGGCTGCCTTGCTGACATCAGCTGCTCATGTACAGCACGGAGTGGGAAGTGGAGAATGTTCCTATGTGGGCAGCTTCAGAGGGAAATAAGTTGCATAAACTAGAACTGGTTAAAGCCAAAGCTAGAAGTGCCCAAGGGCTTGTCTACTGGAGAGAGAACCAGGCTTGCATGTGACAATGTGTGTACAATATTCTTTCATGCTACCTCTCCAAAGGAAAACTTGGTCATCTGGTTCCACAAGGGAGGAAGTAAGTGGTTTTCCTTACTGTGCAGGACTGTTCACCAGAGCCTACTAAATGTTTATTAACATTCTGTGAACACAAATCATGTATTCAAGTGGCTTAGGAAGACAAATTATCTGACTGTTTCTCTCATGTGAAAGGTAGACCTGCCCTTTGGATCAGCGAGGTCTCTGACACCCTGCATAAAACAGCATGTCAGCTGTCTGAGTGACTTAACATGCACTGATCTGAGCATTCCCAATTAAAAGAAGGTAGCTGTCTCTTTTTTTAGGAGTAAATGACTTAAAATACTATAGCAACATGATTCCTTTCCACAAGCAATGGTAAAAGAACAGTTGTGGAGCAGGTGACCCTTATTAAAACTAAGGGATCTTAACAGTGTTCCTTCAACCATCTATGGGAGAGATTTACAAGTAGTAATTGTTTGTCTTTCTAGGTACAACAGCTACAGGTGTTACTGCTGCAGGCCCATGGAGGGACCCTCCCAGTGTCTATCAAGTAAGATTTGTAGATTAATGCTCATGTAACTGATGGCCATCACACACCAGCAAAGGCTCCAGATCTCTTTTGCTCCAGACAGTGCTGTAGAGTGAGACTAGAGCAAACTGGTTGCTTTCTAATAGGATCTGGACTCTTTTTTCTCCTTTTGTTCTTTGTGTCATGCTTACTGAAATTCCATGCAGTTTAGTTTGTAGCAAACCCCTTTAGATGGCAAAAAACAGTTGTAGAAAACATGAGTGGAACTAGGCAATGTCTCTGAAGTATCTGTTTCTCAGACCCATCCATCCCTCTATTCTTCCTCACCCTTCTACCTCTAAATACAGGGCACCTCCATCTACACTGTTCTTAAAAACACAAAATGCAGGGAAGAGTTGGATTGTGTAGGTGTTGTCTTCTGAGGATATTTCAAAACCCAAGTACATGCAGTTTACAGACCTGCCATTGCTTAAACAGCATTAACTGTTTCAAAAGGGTGTTTCTTCTCTTGCAAATGTCTACTTTTTATTTCTGTTCATCTGCTACAACCTGTATTTATTGTAAGTTATTTAGAAAACTTGGAGGTAATTTTAATGCTGTTAACAAACCTCTAGCAAAGTCATGTTCACAAGCAAATTGGTCCTTTAATATTTTAGTAGTATGGCACCATCAGAGAATCTTCAGTCCCTGATGGAGAAAAACCAGTCGTTAATGGAAGAGAATCAAAAGCTGAGCAGAGGGCTGAGTGAGGCTGCTGGTCAGACAGCACAGATGTTGGAGAGGATCATTCTGGTAAGGTTCAGTTACCCAAGAAGAGCTTTAAATTGCATGACTTCTCCTTTTAGCTGAAGATTAATCAATAGCAGCTCCTGTACTAATGGCATGTTAAGAATATATCTTTTTTTAATGTTCCTTTCACATTTATTTCAAATTTCTGGCTATCAGTCAGAACCAAAAGTCTTACAGAGCCTGTCAGAGCTTATAGGTCTGTGACTTCAGTAGGCAAAAGCAGAGCTGAATCTTTCAGCTCTTCTGTTGCTTTAACATTTTAAATACCAGCACTTGCACATGTGCTCTCTCTTCCCTCTTCCCCACTTCACTGCAGTGTATATTCCTGCTAAAAAGGAATATACAACTAAACAAACTAGTGGCAATGATCATGCAAGATCTTTCAGTACATTGATTTGCCACAGACAGCATATTTTTTTTGCTACAAATAAATTAGCTATTTTCTGGCTTCTTACCTTTTTTCCTACAATTCAGTATAATTCTGACTTCTCTTAGACAGAACAAGAAAATGAGAAGATGAATGCCAAACTGGAGCAACTTCAGCAACATGCTCTGTAAGTCTGTTTCCACACCCTCCTGGTGCTGAGGAAATGTCTTTCAGCATTAAATGTTTTTATTGGGATAAACTGGACACAGTCAGTTGGTGTTTGTTCACCCAGAACTTGTTTGTGTGTTCAGTGGGGAAAGTTGTTCCTCATGGGCATGTGTGACACAAACATGCTGTGTAATACCCATGGACTTATTCCCCTGTCTGCATTGCAGGTGCAAGCTTGATCTGCAGAAGCTGGTAGAGACTGTGGAAGATGAGGAACTAAAAGAGAATGTCGAGGTGATTCGCAATCTGCAGCAGGTTCTGGCTCAGTTGCAGGTAAGACTGAATCCAAAGAAAGAAGAGTGTGTGCTAAGCAAGTTTGCTAATGAAACCCAGGGTTTTGATCTGCTGAGCAATGAATTCTGCTCTGCAGAAACCTTGCTGAAGGAGCCCAGAAATTACAAATATTAAATAACTCTTGATATCCACTTCAAAACGAGCTGTCCTGCTGTGCTTTTAATGCTGCAGAAAGGCCACTTGTGCTTGAGTGGTTGCACATGGTGGGGGAAAAGGAAGAGTCTCCCTAAAGTCATCTGATAGGGGGAGATTAGCATGGATTTACAATCCAAAAATTGGAAGGAGAGTTATAAACTTGGTAGTTTTAATGAACAACCCAAATTGCACAGACCTGAAATTGTTAAATAGAAGTTGCCAAATCTTTGTCCAATTGAGGAACTTCTTTGTTCTCCCTCACTCAATATTCCCCATGTTCCCAGACTCCTTACTCCTGCGAGCAGCTAGCTGCCAATGCTGGAGTTCAAGGAAAACTAGCAAGATTGCCTTGCCCAGCTAGTCTAGGAGGAGTATGCTCAGTTTATTAAAGGAAGAAGACAATGCCATCCTCTTTCCAGAGACAGCTTTCTGGACAGAGGAGAATAACATCATGCTTTGTCATTATAGGCCAACAGACTGTTATTAGTTTGATTTTTACTTCATTGTTTACTTTTTACCAAAAATTTTCTTCTCTTTGTCTTATATAGAGTGAAAATGCTGCTACAATGGAAGCTGCTGTAGAGATGGCAAACACTGAACAGGATGCTACAGCTGTAAGTGAGGGATGTCCAGCAGTGCAGACCTTAACAGGGAGCACGTTGTTATCCCATCATCACTTTTATCTGTGTCCTTATGCTTGTTTTCTAATCCACATGTTTGATAAATATGTGTCACTTCTGTATGTGCTGCCTTTATTTGCTCAATGTGTTCAAGATCAATAACCTGTTGTCATTTTTTAATCTAAAAATGAATTTGAAGTGTTCTACAGAAACTGTGATCACACAGTTAAAGAGCTTTCGACTGGCCTCTCCAGCTCATTGCTGTATCTTCTCCAGGAAGCAGAAACAGGCCAGGATAGCAAGAGATCCTCAGATGACTTCACCACTCAACATGCCCTCCGTCAGGCACAGATGTCCAAAGAGTTGCTTGAATTGAATAAAGCCCTGTCTCTGAAAGAGGCACTTGCCAAAAAAATGACTCAGAATGATAGTCAGCTGGAGCCCATTCAGTCCCAATACCAGGTAAACTCTTCTGCAATGGTTCTTGGAAGGCTAGGGTCAGTTTCTTTATCCCAATTAATCTTTTTGATTTTTAATTTGATCTTTCAAGGTCACTTCCAATCCCTAACATTCTGTGATTGATGCAGTCACTGCATGCTGAGGGGGGCAGAGAGGAGAATCTGTGCTCTCATGAGCATGTTTGTATTGGGTCTGTCTGTTCTGTTAAGCAGAGTCACTGCTCCCTTGGGCATAGGGTGGGAGTTAACTCCAGGTGTCAGCAGAGAAGGTAGGGGGATGACCATGTCCAGCTATCTATAAATAGACAGTCTTTTCCCTGAAATAAGCTATTAGCCACTAGCTGTTTTGGAGATTTGCTTGGCCACATCAAAATGCAGGTACTTCATTGTTAACTCTCATCATAAAACCAGCTGAGCTGGCTTCCCTTCTTCACTAGCTGTGCTGGGATCTTCCACCTCTGAAATTGTTCAGTCATAACTTTTAGCTTGTTATAATGGTTCTGTGGACTGACTAAGATTTCAGTCTATGGAAGGCTAGTCCTTTTGATGCTCATACTGTTTTTAGATAAAGCAGTTTACAGCCTGTTGGAAAGGAACATGGTTTCTTGAGGCCTCCTGTCTTTGTCTCAGAATGGAGTTTCAGGGTTTTTATTTGGAGACTTACTATTCTTGTCCTTTCTAGACTAATATCAAAGATCTGGAATTGGAGGTCACTAGTCTGCAAAAAGAAAAGGAGGAATTGATCCTTGCTCTGCATATGGCAAAGAAGGATGTCAACCAAGCCAAGTAAGAGTGACTGTGCAATCTGTGTGGCTTAGCACTGAAAATTGTGTTCATGTGCCTGTGCAAATTCATTGTCTTACACTTACTTCAGCTCTTTGTAAAATCTCTTCTTTTGATGCAAATGCATCCCTTTAACACGCTGTGTGAGTTGTATGAACTGCAAAGAAGCCTGATGAGATAATGGGAAAGATGATAATACACAAGTGCTTTATTTTTTCATAAGGTGTCTCTAAAGTTGGAGAGTATTTGTTTGAGAATAACAGTTATTGGAGCTGCTGTTTCTAACATGTGATTTCTTTCCAGACTGAGTGAACGACGTCGGAAAAGACTTCAGGAGTTGGAAGGGCAAATTGCTGAGCTGAAGAAAAAGCTGAATGAGCAATCAAAGCTCTTGAAGCTGAAGGAATCTACAGAACGAACTGTCTCCAAACTGCACCAGGAGATCAGGGTAATTAACCCCAGCATGCAGTTCTCAGGCTTGCTACAGGCAGCAGGCACTCACTTCCTCGTTTGTTAGACTGGGAACACCAGTTTCTGGCAAGATTCCTTTGACCACAATTGCTGGTGTAATACAACAGGCAGGTGACTACTGAGACTTGGAGGAATAAAAGAAGTCCAAAGTGTCTTCTGACTCTTCTGATAATTTACTGCATCAGTCAAATCGCTTGACTTCACTTTGATTTCCATATGTATACCATGTATGTGTCTGTCTTCCCTTTATGCCTTAAAAAAAATGAATTCCTGGGTTTTAGCTCTTTGAGAGTGTCCTTGGGTGTGTACTCTGAGTGGGCAGCATGCTGTAACGTTTCCCATCTGCCACTCCCCACCTCTGACAGACACACTAGGGGAATGTAGGTTGAAACTACCCAGAATTGCAAATACTGGACATTTCTTCCAGCCATTTCTGTTTTTCAGGAAATGAAAAGCCAAAGGGTACAACTGATGCGCCAGATTAAAGACGATGCTGAGAAATTCAGGCAATGGAAACAGCAGAAGGACAAGGAAGTGATCCAGCTGAAAGAAAGGGTGAGCAAACAATAAGCCCCCAAACTGCACCTCCCTCTGAAGAGTGAAACAAATCATTAAAGTGTTTGCTGCAAGGCTTTGTTTAACTTGCAAGCATCTGAAAAACATCTGGGGAATGCTTTGAAGAGAACACTGCTTCATATGGTTGCCACCTTTCACCAGTTGTCATAAATTGACTCGCTTGCTTGTGTCTGGCAATCTTAAAGCTCATGACACAGTTGTCGTGATTCAGCTATAAAGCAGAAGGCAAATAGAATTAATATTCTAAAGTATTTAAAGTTGTAGGATTTGGCCACGGAATGGGAGGCATTTTAACTTTCAAAGAAATATTGAATCTGCAGGTAAACAGTGAGAATTGTTAATGAAATCCAGCTGGCCTGTAGCATCCCAGTGTAATGGACAGCAAACAGCTGGACCTCCTGAGTTCTGGTCTCAGGGGGGTTCTCACTGTAAGATGTTTGCTCCCCAATGCTTTGGAACACTAACTCTTAAGCTTTTGGTTTGAAATCTCTTACAACCTTCAGGCTCCTAAATGGTTTTGATGGGAAGTTTGAAGCCCTTTCTGGCCACTTTAAGCCTAACAGCTGTTTGGTCTCAGAAGGACTAAGCTTAAGTGGCTTAAGCTTGTCGTGATCAGTGAAATTATTATCATGAAGTGCTTGCATTGCAGAACAGCAATTATTCTGTTCCAAGAAGTGTGAAATTGGCAATAGGTCTTAATGTGACATATGACTATTATTTTTTTTCCCCCTCTCTCTCAACACTATTTCCTTGCAGGATCGTAAGAGACAATATGAGCTGCTTAAGCTAGAACGAGATTTCCAGAAACAGGCCAACGTACTGCGGCGCAAAACAGAAGAGGTGAGGAGCCAATATCTGCTAGAAGCTCCTACTGATTCCTAAAGGTCTGCAAAGTGTGGTTGGAGGTTGTAATAGGATATGCAGAGAAACTTAAAAGCAGTTGGGAGGTCTGGAAATAGGGGCTTTTTTTTTTCCCTGTAGAAAAATATCATGTTTCTGTCTTGTAGCCTTTGAGGGATTCTAGTTCCTCAGAGGGTAAATTACCCTTTGGCATCAGGCTGCTGTGGCAAATCCATTAGATACCCAAGCTACAAAGTGAGCTTGAGGGTTGGATATGCTAGAGTGCAGTTCACAATTCTTTCAGGATGGCCCTATAGAAGAAATGCATCTTGAAGCCATAATTTTTGGATGCTTTCTTCTACCTTCAGGCCTAGAGGCAGATCCCCTTTAAACTGGGAATCTCAGCAAAGGAAATCAAGTCAAGGACTCTAGTCTTAACTTAATTCTAAAGTTGTTCTGGTTTTATTAATGTTATCCTCTTTTTCTCATCGTCTCAATGTCTGGCTTGCATTGTGAATACCTCCTGTTTTCAACTGTTGCAGATTAAGTGAAGTAGCTACTGTTCAGCTCTTGTGTAAAACATTTTGCAGGCAGCAGCTGCTAACAAGCGCCTGAAGGATGCTCTGCAGAAACAACGGGAGGCTGCAGATAAACGGAAGGAAAGTCAAAATCGGGGGATGGAAGGAGTTGCTGCACGAGTAAAAGTGAGTAATAATGTGTTGTGTGTTCCAACAATCATGGGCAAACTTGGTTTTTTTTTAATTTGGGTACTGCTGGGGTTGATGGTTAGAGAGGAGAGGGGAGAAATACGGAGTTACATATTAAAGGAGACAAAGTGATTATTCGGTTTATCTCTGAAGTCATTTCAGAGATGGATTCAGTCCTGAAGTTGTGACTGCAGTGAACCTTTATGCTGTTTGTTTGGGTTTTTCTCCCTCCAGAGCTGGCTTGCAAATGAAGTAGAGGTTCTTGTTAGTACTGAAGAGGCTCGACGGCACCTTGCAGACCTTCTGGAGGACAGAAAGATCTTGGCACAGGAGCTCCTTCAGCTTAAAGAGAAGAAAGATGCTGGGGAAAACCCACCTCTAAAGCTGCGGGTAAGAGAGGAAAATGCCATTTTCCCTGTCCCACACCTCTGCTGTTCAGTGTGTGCTCTCACTTATTCCCTCCTGATCGACCTTTTCCCTCAGACTGGAGGGATGGAGATGGTTCCCTTCCTGGAAGAAGGGGTTAATGTTGCTGTCCTCTGGCATGTCAGGGAACAGAGTTGCTGAAGTAGCTTGTTACTTAATGTCATGCATCTGATGGATGTGAGTGGATCACATCCCTTATCAAAGACTTCACGCTTTTGGGAAGCAGCAATGGAATTTAAGCTGTGGAGAAATTCTGGGAGGCTTCTATAATAATATGGCTCCTCTTTGCTGAAATGTCTGTAAATGAAAGCCCAGCCTTGTATGTGTTTCTTCACCTGTTACTTCTGTCCATTGCTGTAATTCTTTAGAGACGCACCTACTCCCTCGCGGATTTGCAGGCATCAGAGATGGATCTCTCCATCTCAAAGCAGATAGAAAGCCTGGAGACTGAGATGGGGCTCAGGTAAGAGACAGTATGACCAAGATGATTTGTGCAACCTTACCTCCAAGTTTTTCTTTCTACTCATCTCTATCTACAACTCTTCTGTGAAACAGAAGAGAAAGTAAAATAACTTACACACTGACACTAAAAATAATGAGATAAGACCATGTGGTTTTCCTGGTTTGAATTTTTCCAAAATACAGAGCTGGGAGGACACTACTCAATGAGTAAGGTTACTTTCTGTCTTGGCTGTTGGTGAGCATCTCTGTATGAGGAGAAAGGCTGCCCTCCTAATTGGAAGGGTGGAAGCATTAAGCTGTATTAAGCAGTTAAAATTTTAACTTGAACCATTTTGTCTAATATTCTGGTAACAGTAATTTTACCACAGACACTTGCCCAGGTTTTCTCCTGTGTTGTAACCTCAAATACATTAATTCTTCCAAAGGAGTGCCCAGATAGCAGATCTACAGCAGAAACTCTTGGATGCAGACAATGGTGATCGTGCCAAACAGCGTTGGGACAGCATTGCAACAATTCTAGAGGCTAAATGTGCTTTGAAGTATCTCCTTGGAGAGGTAAATCCTGAATTTTCCTATTTTATCACTAAAAACAAAGGTTCTTGGTCTGTTTAGCCAGGAACAAAATGAAATGACTAACAGGCTGACAGCAGAGCTGAGTTCAAGGGAAGCACTCTTGTACTGGATGAGGTTTATTGCCCTCACAGCTTCTGATTAAAATATTTTCCTGCACTCTAGATAACTTTGGAGAGTGAAATCTAAAAATTAGGGAAGAGGGAAAGAAAATAGACCTGGGTCTGGAGATACCAGCTAAAGCTGTGCTTACAGAAGGCTTGCATGGGAATAGTAAAAGGGAAGAGACAAGTGGGAGAGAAAGTACCTAAAAATACTTGCTGAACAAGGAGGTGATCTGCAGGGAAACAAGAGGAGTACTCTGAGCTCAGAGTGGAATGGATGTTGAGATGGGAGAAGCTTGAACAAGACTCGGAGTAGGAGAGAGTAGGAATTGGGCTAATGTGGAATCAAGGAAAGAGCAACTGAATGACAAAATAATTTATCAATCCCTGGTACTTGGAAATAAAAGGAGAATAATGAAGAAGCTAATATGGGAGAGCATTCATTTTTGGGGTCTCTCTAATTCTCAGATTTAAAGTGCTGCAGGAAAGGAGATTGATCTAGAACTGTTAACAAGGCTTCCTGCTATCTTGCACTTCCATGCTTGATGTCTAGCTCTGAATCTCTCTCTCATCTGGTCTCTTTGTTGCTGATGGCCAGTCCAGTTCTTAGGGTGGCTGGAAGTTAAACAGAAATTCTTTGTCTTCAGACTGCAGCATGTCTGTCCTGAGAGACATTATGAAACATGGGACTCACTGACCCAAGCAATCATTTTGCTTTTGTCTTTCAGCTGGTCTCCTCAAAAGTGCAGGAAAGTAAGTTAGAGAGCAGCCTTCAGCAGAGTAAAGCCAGCTGTTCAGACATACAAAAGATGCTGATTGAAGAACGAAACCATTTAACAGAGATGGAGGCAGAGTTCCAAAATCAGCTTTTGGTGCAGGAACAACACCACCAGGAAAAGGTAAAACATAAGTGATAGAAATCTTGAGAGCTCCTGTGTCTTGGGACTCTGATTCCCAGATCTGCTCAGAGATAAAGGCAAAGAGGATGTGCTGAAACCAATCTGTTGCTGTGTATCTAATCAAGATTTGTTGGACTCTTGCACAATAGTTAACAAAAGCCCAAGAAATCTCCCTATTCATCTGTCCTGGGGAAGGTGTTTTATTCAATAACTTCTCACAATGTTTTGAGTGAGGATGTTACACCTGAGCACAAAAGAAAACTTTTAAAGTAGACCAGGGCAGAACCATGCTGGAAGTGACAGAGAATCTTTCTGAACTTGTCAAGTCCTCAAGGCTGCCAGAGGTCTCCAGGAATTCACACCTGTCTCTCTCTGCTATATTAACTTGCTTTCAGGTCCTGTACCTGCTTAGCCAATTTCAGCAAAAAGAAGCAGCAGAGAAGAAATTGGAAGATTCATTAAGTGAACAAGAAAAACAGCTACAAGAGCGACTCAAGTTCCAGGTGGAGTGTCTGGATGTGGCGTGGGGGGGTGTGGCTTATTAGGGCTACCTGGTAGTTGGAATAGTGGCTTTAGAGTGAGGAAAGTGCAGAAGGATTGAGAGCATTTGTAGCTGAGATTACTTGATTCAGTTGGTTGCAAAGGATAGTTGTTGTTACAGGTTTGAATAAACCTTTTTTCTCTTTATTTATCTCCTTCCATTAAACAAATGTCAATGCAGCAATGACACCTATCACAGTCTGACCAGCTCAAGCAAACTTCTTCCATGCTCAGAACACCTTTAGGATATTCAACATGCTGTTACTAATCCTTTGCTGAACACAGCTCCACTGTGCTCTCAGCAATGGGAGAACTTCACCTTGACCATATAAACATGTTACAAGCTGCACCTTGTCTTGTCACTAAGGGAATTAAGTGGTGTAGGAAGCTCCTGTGGAAGTGCCTGTTCAGTGGTGGGTTAAAGCCAAATCAGCTCTAGGTGCACCTCATTTTCAGATAAGCTTTAGAAATAGAGGGAGATGTATGTTAAATGGTCACTCTGAAAGGGTCACATTCTCTCTGTTGTATTGGCAGTATTATGCATGAAAAAAAAAAGTAGTAGCACTAATGATTTTCCTGATCTAAAAGTCAGAGCTGATCTCCTGTTGGAGAATACAAACAAACCCCTCTGGTGTTGCAAGAAACACCCAAATAGAACTATCTATCCCAAACAACTACTTGTGCTACCCCCCCACTTAAGCCTATAGGTTTCTTCTTGTCTTGCAAACAGGAGGAAGAGCTGGAGAAAATGAGGGAGATGTGTGAGAAGAACCAAGAGCTTCTCCAGGAAAACGACACTCTCAAACAGGTAGAGATCTGGAGAGACACAAGTCAAAGAGCTTCTTGGCATCTGGGTTCATGTAATTGGCAAAGCTGACTTGTGTCCCTCTTCACAGAAACTGCTGCTCCTCCAAGTTGCCAGTGGCCAGAAGATCCGTCACATTCAGCAAAGGCCATCAGAGTCCCCAGATTCTTCTTTTGATTATATTCCACCCAAAGTAAAAGTTCTGCATATTAGTTTTCTACCTTTGTTCTTGTCAGAAGTGAATGTTTGCTGTTAATCATCTTGGGTTCTCTCTGCCATCTTACTTTTTACAAGCCATGGTGTTCTGCTTAGTGAAGTAGACTTGTTTTCTACTTCAGATAGGCCTTAAGGTTTCTGCTTTTCTGTTTTCAGAATACTTCTGAAACCAGCACTAGTTTTTAGATCTTTACCAAAAAAAAAATCAGAAAACTTGTTTCCTCAGTCTAATTATGTCTGACTCTGTATCCTCCCTGGTAATCCAGGTGTTGTCTCTGTACCATTTCCAGTCTCTGAATCATGAAGCAAGGCATCTGTCATAGAAAATTTAAGCATTGCCTTGCAAAAGTGCTCAATCTTATTGGTGGGAGGAGTAAATGATCTCAAACTACTTTGCCAAGACTATGACACAAATCTATTAATTTCCCAAGGATTTGTCAATTTTTAAAGTTTGGGGTTTTTTTCCAAACTGTTTAAATTAACTGATTGAATTTTTAATCCTGACAATCTGGTCTTTTGTCTCCTCCCTAACCTGCCAGCTCCCTTGGCTGTCTGAGAGGAGTGGGGCTGTGGTGGTGGGGCTCTGAAGTACCTTAACAAAATATAAACTCACTTATTTCTTCTGGGACCTCAACTGTTGTAATTTCCATGTGTAGCCAAAACCTCGTCGGCAAACGACAGCCAAACCCCGAGCGCTGACCCCAGAAATGAATGTGGAAGAGCTGTTCTCTGACTCGGGGGAGTCTGGAGGGGAGATGGAGGATGCAGACTGGGTTCCAGTAAAAGCAGTCAAAGGAGCAAAGAAAAGTGTGATGGGGGTAAGATCCAGTTACACTTGACTTGTTATTCCCTAGGAGGGAATCACTTGCCTCTATCCCTAAGGATCTAGTGTGTGTACAGAGCAACAGTGAGGCTGTGGTGTCTCCACTATTGCTCTGAACCACCTTCATGTGATAGTACTGCTGGTCTTAGCTATTTATGATCTTCTGACAGAGCAAGGTGCCCATGGTCAGCAACACCTTCCTGAATAGTTTTTCATTGGATGGGTCACCTGCCATGAGACACATGTTCTGTCCTGCTGGCTGTGGCTGAACTGGCTTCAGTGTTTCAGACAGCAGTGAAATAGCAAACCCCTAGCAGATGCTTTATCCCTTTATTGAGCCTATTTGAGGTGTTTGTATCAGTCTGCTGGGCTGGAAGCTTCAGCCTGCTGCTCAGTTAGTCCTTGATGGGATGGAAGAGGTGATTTGAATGTCCTGAACACAAGTCACTGAACCAATGGACCTCTTTGGGCTTGAACTGCTATGAAGCTAGAGCCCTGTTGTGAGAGTCATTCTTCTTTCACAAAGCAGTGAGTTATGACATCTTTCACTATTGAGTGACTGAAAATGTCAGCAGTTACCACAGAAAAACTCGTAAATTTTAAGGTCTATCTTTAGTTCCTTTCACTGAAGCTTGCCAACCTGATAAATTCTGAACTACAGCACTACTGGCAGTTTGGGTTTTGGGGAGTTCTTTTGGGCCACATTGCAGGAAGGAGGGTTTGTGCTTCACACTTGGCTGTTCTGAGTTCATTTATGTAGCCTGGTGGAACTCCAGTGCAAGTTACTGCTCTGTGTAGTCTGCTACTGCTTCATGTACCCAGACTAGCAGAGAGATTCTGATATTATGACATCAGAGAGATCTCTGATATGCTGTGAAGCAGCTAAATTGGGTCACCTCCAGCTAGATGGAGGGCCCCAGGTTTGGTGACCCAGATTTGCCTCTTAGTGCTCAAATGTTGGCTTGTCTAACTGACCCTGAAACCAGCATCCTTTTGGGTGGCTTAAGGTCAAGGACTGAGTAATTGAAGAAGCTTATCTTGGGGATGCTGAAGCCAGAGATGGCTCTGCAGGTAGAAAGGCTGGATGAGGCTTTGAGCAACCTGGTCTAGTGGAAGGTGTCCCTGCTGCTGGCAGGGGGGTTGGAACTGGATGATCTTTAAGGTCCTTTCCAACCCAAACCATTCTATGATTTCTTTTCTTGGGATGCAGGACTGATGGTGAAACAATAAAAGGTTCATGGCAGCTTGGGAATGGTACTGTCCTTTATTTAGATTGCTTCAGGTGTTGATAACTGTGACAATCTAGATGCAGTCTGTAAAACACTGAAGCTCTTTCTGAAAGCACCAAAGCTCTTTCTGCACAGAACTCTTCTCTCACTTAGTGCTCCTGCAAGGGCTGGTGTGGAAATAGACAGTGTGGCTGCAGGAAGCAGAAGGTGGGCTGCACTGAAGGCTGTAGCTGTGACTCTGCAAAGTGCAGAAACAGAGACCCTGGCTTTCCGGTGAGTAGTGCATGTGGGAGGCCCTACACCCAACACCCAGACTACACAGTGTAGTAAAAGCAAAGCTGGGTGCATGGAGAAGTGGTTATACCATGAGTGTGTGTGTTTGGAAAGTTCAAGCATATGCACCTCTGCAACATCTGTAAATGTTGCTGTAATTCAGTGTTTATCTGTGGTAACTGAGTACAGAGTTTTCCACAGCAGTACCTGGCTCTTGCACTAAATACAGAAGTTTGTGTGATGTCCCAAGTCACATCGATTTACCTACTGCCAGTGGTCAGCCATGAACCTGAAGACAAACAATTCAAGTCTTTCTATTGCACTTAATAAATAAAAATTGTATCTTTGGCTTCAGATGGCACAAAAACTTAACTCACTTTCAGATTTTTATATTTTTTTTCCCAAAGAAGGGAAGGGATAACTTGGGGAGGGAGCTGTAGCATCAGGCAGGTTCATGAGCAACTGATGTTCATTAGAACTCTTGCTGGAAATGTTTGGATCTTAGAGACCTGAAGCAGAGGCCTCCCCTAAAGTAATTCTTTAATTATTGATTATCTGATGAAACCAGTTGCCTGACAGAGAGAGGCATCCTGTGCTAGGAATTACTTTCCAACTGGAGAAAAGGTGGCTTAGGGACCCATCGATTATCTGATGAAACCAGTTGCCTGACAGAGGCAGCCTGTGCTAGGAATTACTTTCCAACTGGAGAGAAGGTGGCTTAGGGACCCCTAATATTTCTTCAGCTGTTGGTGGGGAAGGAAAGGATGGAAATTGTAGAAGTGTTTCAAAATATTACTGCCCCTCAGGATGCCACGCTGTGCGAGGACCGAACAAGGGACTCTGATGGTTCCTTCAAGCTCGAAGACCCCACTGAAGTGACTGCAGGAGAGACCTTCTTTCAGCCTGTGTGTGTCACACCAACTACAAAGGTACTGCCTGAAGCTGTAAGAAAGGACAGGGGTTCTGAATGTGGTGGATCTTAAAGAGCTAAAAAAAACAAGATGATAGACTGAGGAAATGGGCTCCAGTTGTGGCCAGGGCAGTTGAGATGGGATGTGAGGAAGAATTTCTTTGCTGAAAGGGTTCTGAGGCATTGGAAGGGGTTGCCCAGGGCAGTGGTGGAGTCCCCATCCCTGGAGGGATTGAAGAGTCGTGTAGACACAGTGCTGAGGGACATGGGTTAGTCGGGGACTGGTCAGTGTTGGGTTCATGGTTGGACTGGATGAGCTTAAAGGGCTTTTCCAATCCAGGCCATTCTGTGATTCTCTTGCTGTTGACCTGGCAACTTCTATCTGTGCTGCCTCCAAGCTCCAGAGGAAGCTGGCTGGCGTCTTCAGGGCAGTGACCAACTCTAAATTACCTTCCTTGCTTTTCACATAGGTCCTGAAAGATATCACAGACCAAGATGTGTTCATGAAGAAGCCCAGCACTGCTGCTTCCCTGGTCGTGAGAGATGAGGAGTCCCAAGAGAACCAGATCCCATTGGTAAAGAGAAAGAAGAGAATGCTGAGCAGCAACACCAGCTTCTTCTCAGGTTGTACCCCTATCAAAGAGGAGCTGGACTGATGAAGATGCCACTGGATTGTGCTGAGCTTCATTACACCGTGGTGCTGGTGACAACTTAAAGTGTTGGGATCTCTTGCTACAGCAAAGGCCTGATGACTGTCCGGCCTGAGAGCTGCTGGCATCAGCAAGGGAGTCAAACACTAGTTCTTGCTGGATTGTGTCCAGTTCTCTGTAAATATTTGTATGTCTGGGACTTGGGCCGATGGTGAGAAACTCTCTCCTCTGGAATTCCTGTAGTGAGTGGAGGGGATTGATCCAGGTTGCTCATTCCAGCTGCCTTCCTCCTCCTGAGCTGTGAACATGTTGGGTACAGTTAAATCCATAATCTTGAAAGAACTTTGCATTTGCACTGGAAATCTGAGCACTGTCTCTTCCAATACACCACGAGGAACTGTTTTGCTGCCAGTTGTGATCCACTGGCACTGTCTCTAGTCTTAAACTAGCTAGCAGCTATGAACTGGTCAGTGTTTCACCACCCTTGGGGGCACTGCTCTGTCCTTGTTCAATGAAGTTAGAAACTTGCTAGCTCTATGTGAATATTGTAGTGTTTTAACTTGGTTTTGTAGCTTTAATAAAGTAACTACTAGAAAAAAAAAACAAAACCAACCCTGACTCTTTATTTTACAGTATTGTGTATGATGAGCTCTACAGGTAAAATTGGTTTCAAAACTGTCCCAGCAGTTGCTGTGCTGTCTGCTCTAGGGTTTTTTTTCCTGTCCTACTCAAAGAAGGGTACTGCCCCTTTCCTTTCCTCTCTTTGCCCCTGTCTTGATTTTTTTTGAGTCACACCATGAAGGAAGAGTGGCAAATGTAATTTTTTATTTCTCCCATGATAATATTGACAAGACTTTGACATTGTACTTTGATACACCCTCTACATTTATCTTCACTATTAACAACTCTGTGGCTTCTGGTTTAACAGGAACTGAGCAGGATTCTCTGCCCAGGAGCTGCTCAGACACCTTTAATAAACATCAAAGGATAACTGGCTGGTTTCTCCTGGTCTCATGATGAACAAGTGCTGTAACTTCCCCTTCCCTCTCCATGCTTGATTCTTTCACAAGGAGGGGTTGGGGCAGAGCAGGGATCTCTAGAAGCTCTTTTTCAGGTGTAGTAGGAGCAGGATTTGTGCTGAACCTGGCAGGGTTCTGTGCCAGGAGCTGTGTGGTGCATGGGCAGGTGGTGACTGTGAAAAGTTGCACGTGTACCACTCAATAAAGAACTATGAACTGACTGCTCTTCTAATTTCACTCATCCCTTTAGTTTCCAAACACATAAGATCTAAAAATATTGGTTTCAAAGTGATTTAGACAAACTTGTAAACTGTGAGGACTTTGACCCAGGGAACGGGCACATCCATCTCCTCCCACCATCCCTCCCACCCTTTCTGCAGAGGGTTGGATGCTGAGTCAGGACCATTTCACAGTTACAGAACAAAGATGCAGCACAAAGGGTGACAAATCTCAGTGCAGCGAAACACAAGGTACCAAATACCTGTGGTTGGAAGTGAACTTGTCCTCCTTGTAACCAGGATTATGAACTAATCCTCCCGGGTGGCTGGGAGCTGTGTGTGCTCGAGGCGGGTCTCTCCTCCCTGTTCCCAAACGCTGCTGCTGAGCTGGAAGGTGCTGGAGAAGAGCAGCTGCCCAGGACAAGGGGCTCTTTGAGTTTAACCTCTGCTGCTGGAAGAGGATGAGTTCTGTGGGGCTCGCCTGCCTGTGCCCCAACACACCAACCACACCTCGGGACACCCCACTCGGGGACACCTCGCTCAGGGTGAAACCCAGGGGAGCAGCTTCATTTGATGCCAGGAGCTCAACAGCTGCTGATGGGGGACAGGGGGACAACCCTGATGGCACAGCCAGCAGCTCCCCTCCCTGCTATACATTAAATATAAATATATATATATATGAGTGTGTGTCTGAGACTGTATGGATTTGTAGAGCAGATGTGTAAGAACACGTGTCACTGTGAACAAGAGAGTGTGTGAGCGAATATAAATGTATTTATACATATATTAGAATATCACATATATAAAAGAATGGGTGCTTGTGAGCACTGGGTGTGGCCTTGTGTCTGTATGTTATATATACAATAGATAGATAGTATATTGTAGATTACATAATAAGTAATATAAGTAGTTGTATGTTTAGATATATAAAGTCTGTCTAGATACAGATATAGAAAATGCTGTGTATCTAGAGAATATATAAATCTAGAATCTTAGACTCATTTAGGATAAAAAAGACCCTTAAGATCATCAAGTCCAACCATTTTTAAATATATATATATATAAAAATATATACACACATAAATATGCATATTAAAATATGTTTTATATAAAAGCTACATGAACATTATATAAGCTAGTGTTAGATGTTCTATGTTATAGTCAGTATATATATTGCATATCGAATCTGTTTTATATGTGTATATATACACACACGTTCCCATGCCCCATGAAAGGGTGCATAGGCTATTAAAATCAATCAATCAATAAATAAATAAAAAGCATCGGTTTCTATGTGTTTTAGATAAATTATATATGGTAGATAATATATCATATATTGTTACACTTTATATAGTAATATGTCTTATGTGCTATGTATTGTGTGTGTGTATGTGTGTGTGTGTATATATCTATTTATTTAAAATGTTCTCTGAGACTGTGTGTGGAGAAAGTATAAATATATATATATATATACACACATATATATGTATAAATATATATATATGTATAAAAGATTTCTATGTGTGTGTGTGTGTGTATATATATATATATATAAAAGAATAGCTGTTGGGAGCACAAGTGAGTGCATGTTGGTTTGTAAGTATTTAAAGAGAGAGACAATATAATGTTTATATACGTATATATCACAATATTACAATATATACAAGAACAGGCGTCTGTCAGAGAGCGTGGGCGTGTGTATGTAAGGATATTATACATACAGTATGTATGGATATATATATATATTATCTATATATAAAGGGTGGCTGAGTGTGTTTAAGTGCATGCATAATTAACTGCTATATATTTGCTATACACACACACACTATTCTGTATCTATCTCTATATCTCTAAGAGATACAGTAAATATTGACATTATCTGTGTACTTTACACATTGTATTGTAGGGATGAAAAAAGGGTCTCAGACCATTCAGAGCACAAATAGACATGAAATAACAGGAGACTGGGGGAGGGTGTGGGGGTTTTTATTATATATATATATATACACATACACACACACATATATATGTAATATATAATTGTAAATACTGTTCTAATATATAATATCAAACAAAATAGAACTATTATATAATATCAAATATAAATATGAATAATAGTCATAATACATAATGGATAACATGGCATATAGAAAATATGCTGTATTATT